AGCAGCCAAAAGAGGAAGAGGAAAGTAATTGCAAATGTGAACTAACCATTTTTAAAACATTTTTCAGGTTTTGTAGCTCTGACAACTCACAAATCACCCTCAAAATGGATCAGGTCCATCCAGGACCTCCTGCTGTCTACCAGCTGAGATCAAAGAACGTGAAGTCTGGAACTTTTACAAGAATTACTGTTGGTGAAAAAAATCCAAACAAGCCAAATAAAACCATCTTACTTGTGGGTGAAACAGGAACAGGAAAATCTACTCTGATCAACGCTTTTTTCAACTACAGCATGGGAGTGAAGTGGGAGAAAAATGCCTGGTATCAGATTGTAGTGGAGGAGGAGAAAAGTCAGACAGAAAGTCAGACATCAAATGTGATCGTGTACGAGATCTTTGATTTTAAATATAACACTCTGCCCTATTCTCTGACCATCATTGATACGCCTGGATTTGGAGACACCAGAGGGAAAGAAAATGATAACATGATCAGTCAACAATTATTGGACTTGTTCAGGTCAGGTGATGGAGTTAATGAAGTTCATGCAGTAGGTCTGGTGATGAAGGCAAGTGAGAATCGTCTGACTGACCGACTGAAGAACGTTTTCAGTTCAGTGATGTCTTTGTTTGGAAATGACCTAGAGAAAAACATTGTAGCTCTGATCACACACTCAGATGGAACAACACCTAAAAATGCGCTCAAAGCTCTTGAAGCTGCAAACATTAAATGTGCCAAAAACGAGAAGAAGCCTGTTCATTTCCTGTTTAATAACTGCCAACGTGAACAAAGAACAGAGGAACAAGAAGAAAACTTGAAAGCTGCTCATAAATTTTCAGAGAAAGGAATGAGAAGTTTCATAAGATTTCTGGGAAAAACTGCTCCTCAGAAACTGGAGAAAACTAAGGAAGTTCTGGATGAACGCAAAGAACTTAGAATCTGCATCCAAAATCTGATAGAGAAAATTCAGGTGATTGAAATGAAAAAGACAGAAAGAATACAGATTTTGGAAGGTCTGGAGAAAAATCAGCCCATTGTTGAAATTGATGAAACCTACAAAGTTAAAGAACCTATCAATGGTGGGGAATGGGGGATTGTGTTTTATGATGGAGCTACATTCTGTCAGTTATGTGAGGAAACCTGTCATTATCCATGCACAACGGGCTGGGGTCCTAAAATGTGTGGCATCATGAAAAATGGCCGCTGCATTGTTTGTATCAACAAATGTCCTGCATCTGCTCATGTGAAAGACACGTGGAGATATGTGATTAAGACAAGGAGAGTAAAGATGCCTTTGGCAGAAATAGATGAGAAATATCGAGAAGAAACAGAAACTGAACGTGAGAACAAGTTGAGTCTTCTGGAAAACATTCAAAAGCAAATTAACCAACTGACAGCAGAGAAGTCACAGTTACTGGATGAGTGCTATCAACATGTTGTCAGACTGGAGGAGATCGCTCTGAAAGCTGATTCAGAGTCCGATATTAATAACTTGGACTTCCTGATTGGGGAGATGAAGGAGATAGGAGACACAGAGAAATTTCAGAAACTGGAGGAGATGAGAAGCAGGATGTAGCAGAAGCAGGACGAAGGAACCAGAAATTCTCTGCATTAGGTGAACATCATTCATAAGCTCCCAACTCCTACATCAAATCATTTTACATGTTAAAATATCTACAAACAAATGTAATGTATGAAGAATTCTTAAAATGTAATTACCTAACAATGAATAAATAACACATCCATCTTCTTCTGCTTATCTGGTATTAACCCC